TCCGCCCCCACGCCGCGCGTTCCAGAGAACACGTGCGTCCCGCAGCCGAGGGGCGTGGCCTCCGGGCGTTCGCGCACCGACCCCCGGCTCCCCCATGTCATCCCGGATTCCTACACCGGGGAGCTGGGAAGTCCCAGTTCACAATCCGGGCCTGCCTGGACTGGACTCCTGCCCCAGCTTGTTCTCAATACAAGCCCCAAGCCTCTTGGATCTCAAAGCCACATTCCAGTGACCTTGGGAGTCCTACACTCACAGCCTGGGGCCCTAGACTTTCCTAAATTCAAACCTCACCTTCTTAGTCTGAAAGATACATTACCAGGACCCAGCTAATCCCAAATCTGTATCCCAACATCTTGTCAGTGAGGTTCAATGTAACACCCCAGGAGCCCAGGGAGAACAAAACCCACACACCACACCCCCACCCTCCCACAGGAGTCCTTTATTGGCACCCGAAGATCCTAATGCTCACCCAGAGCCCCCCAAAGCACCCTCCTGATCAGGTGGGGCCAGCGCCGGCCTGGCTGCTCGATACCCTGTTTCCTGGCTGACCTGGAGCTGCTCACAGAGCCTCGTCCTGGCTGCTCCCTCGTGGGCTCCCAGAAGCTCGGGCAGGAGGCAGGCAAGTCCAAGATAGAAAACCCCAACCTAGTCCCAGCTAGTGGACCTCCCGGAGGGCCTCTGTTGTTGCAGACTCCTGGGTCCTGCTTTCCTGCACTGTGCCCATGAGGGCCTCTGCCCTATGCTTCTCTCCAAGCTCCCCCTCCTCTGCCCTCCTACCCACCCCACCCTGCTTGTTTTCTTCCTTGCTTGGCAGACCTTTTCAGTGCAATCCTTGGAAGAAGGCCTGGGCCTGTTTCCAGAGCCATTTGGAGGACAACGCTTGGCAGGAGCTCACTCGCCTTCCCCCTCCCCCATGCTGTCATTGGTTCCTGGGGCCTTCCAGGGTGGGCGGAATGGGTTCGAGGAGGCAAATCCCGACAGGCCCAGAACAACGACCAATAACTGTCCTGCTACTGTGATCACCCACATTTTACAGGTAAACAACTGAGCCCTGGAACTGTCATGCCAGCTCAGAGTTGAGATTCATTCATTCACAAACGTGGGCAGAGAGAGAGCTTGTCCCCCCTCCTCCCTCCCTTTCCTTCTTCCCTAAACTTCTCTACCCCTTGCGGCTTCTGGCCCAGATTTCCCCCGTCTCCCCTGCCTCCCTCCCCCTTCGCCCTCCTCCCCCTCTTCTGTTTTTCTCCCCCTTCCCCTTTCCTCCACTTCCCTTTGTGCTCTCCTTCCCCTACTTCCCTCTCTTCCTCCACCCACTCCTCCTTCCCCTTCTCCCTCCTTCTATCCCTCCTCCCCTTCTCTCCTCCCTCTTAGTTCCCTCTCCTCCTCCCATTATCTCACCAACTCACGGAGCCAGAACGGAATAGTGCACGTGACAATCTCTTCCAACTCTATCCACAGCTCCTGGAGATTCTCTTATGAGTCTTCAGCCTGAAATCATGAAATCCGAAAGACTCTGGAAGCTCAACTTTTTCTTAAGGCGGTGTCAGAACTCCAGCGGTGACCCAGGCTGTTTTCCGTGATCAAAACTGAAAACCTTTTTTATTCTTCTTTATCCCTTATTCTTCCCTTTGCAGCGATACCCCACAGCCCAGCAACATCATGCAATACTCAGTGACCTCCCTAAGATAGAAAAAATTCCCAATCCCAAAATACATGGTGACCTTAAAAATAAAACAGCGATTTTACCAGCAAAAATAGGGAACAGCAAAGAATTTCAATTCGGGACAAGCAAGTTTTAGCAAAAGCCATAGGAAAGTCCCACATACAAAGGAGAGGACTGTTACTTTGTGGAGGAAAAAGGAGGAAGTTGGGAAGGGTTGCTGTAAGAGGAAGTCCAGCAGAGAAAAGTGAGAGTTCAGGGTTTCAAGTTTTTTCTCGGATTGTCAACAGGGATTGCGGCATAATGGTCCCGGTATAGTGGCGGAATTCACCTACGAAGATATTTTCCCCCAAAAATGTAGATGTTCATAGAACAAATACCGCCTGACTGACATGGAGCGGTACTGTGTGAGAGCGCCCCCTGCTGGCCTCCCCACTCCATTTTAGTGAGGTTTCCCCCCTTATTTTCAATCTATTTTCTTGATTTTTTACAGAGAGGAAGGGAGAGGGATAGAGTGTTAGAAACATCGATGAGAGAGAAACATCGATCAGCTGCCTTCTGCACACTCCCTACTGGGGATGTGCCCGCAACTAAGGTACATGCCCTTGACCGGAATCGAACCTGGGACCCTTGAGTCCGCAGGCCGACGCTCTATCCACTGAGCCAAACCGGTTAGGGCTCCCCTTATTTTCATACAACCTTACCCATGCCAGGGATTCCAGATGAGCAATTAAGAAACCGGTTTGGCTCAATGGATAGAGCGACGGCCTGTGGACTGAAAGGTCCCGAGTTCGCTTCTAATCAAGGGCATGTACCTTGGTTGCAGGCTGAGAGTTCAGGGAGATCAGTTTTTCATTGGCTAGGTAACCGGGGTAGGGGGAATGTACACCCGGTTCTGTTGCGGGTCTGTAATTGACAATACCGCCTGTAACTGACATGGAGCGGTACTGTGTGAGAGCGCCCCCTGCTGGCCTCCCCACTCCATTTTAGTGAGGTTTCCCCCCTTATTTTCAATCTATTTTCATAGAAGAAACAGTTATATTCCCATTTCACAGACGTGGAAACTGAGGCTTAGACAAGGGGACAGCACTCAGGGTCAAACCAAGCTCTCACCTTCTCCAGCTGGGTGGCCTTGGGAGAGTCACCTCTCCCCTCTACCTTGCTTGCCCTGTGGGTAATAACACCCGACCCCTGAGGCGCTGTAAATCACATATTTATTGATCACCCACTGTGTACAAAGGCTGACAGACAAGGAACTCTTTATCTGGAGAATGAAGGGGCTACCACAGAAGCTGTGGGGGGCACAGCCTGATGGACATCTCCCTCCCCAGAGGGACCCCAAGTGCCTGCAGGCCACAGCAGAAGGAGTTCTTCAAACTTTCTGGAAGGAGAGAAATGAAACATACATTGAAATAAGGTACAGAGAGAGCAGAGCATGGGTGTGTCACTGTAAGTAGAACATGAGCACCGTGAGGGAGTGAGCAATTTCTCTGCCATGGTCAAGTGCCCACCAGAGTCTTTACTCTGAGTTTGGCAGCCTCAGGAAACTCAAAAAGAAAGAAAGAAACTGGCCAGGTAACTCAGTTGGCTGGAGCTAATCCGGCGCACCAAAAGATTGTGAGTTTGATTCCTGATCAGGGCACGTACCTAGGTTTTGAGTTGGATCACCACCAGTCCGGGCATGTAAGGGAGGCAAGCAGTCCGTGTTTCTCTCCCCCTCCCTTCCCTGGGTATGAGTTTCCTGGGGCTGCCAAAACAAAGTACAGTAAACCCTCGATTTTGCAGGCCTTCGTTTAGTGGACTTCGGAATTGATGGACAAAACTTCCCGGCCATGTGTCATATGTGAAAATTAACGCCCTGTTAATTTTACAATGTTTTTAACACAGATTTGCTTATAATGAAATTAACAGGTTTTTTATTATTAATTCACTGGTTTTGGTGTTTGTGTGTGTGTTTTGTTAATCCTTACCCAAGGATATTTTCTCCATTGGTTTTAGAGAGAATGGAAGGGAGGGAAGGTGGAAGAGAGAGAGAAATTGGTCGCCTCCTGCATACTCCCCGACAGGGGCAGAGGTCAAACCTGCAACCCAGGTAAGTGCCCTTGACCCGGATCAAACCCAAGACGCTTTGGTGCCCAGACACTCTAACCACTGAGCAGCACCAGCCAGGGCTAGCTGGCTGCTCTGGCCCCTCCTGTAGCTCTCTGCCATGTGTGTGTTGTTGTTGTTGTCGTTGTTGAATTTAAGCCCAGTTAGCCACCAGGAGCCCTTCGTAGTAGGTGTTTTTTCCTCAGGGTTCACCGTCGCATCTAGAGATCCTGAATTTAGTTACATCTTCAAATTTTGTTATTCCTCCAAACAAGGTCACAGCCACAGGTCCTGCGGGTTTGGACTTGGATGTATCTGTTTGGGGGCCATCATTCCACCCACTACACCTGGATAAAGGGTTAGAACGGTGGTTCTCAACTGCCCCCTGGGGACACTTGGCCACATTTGGAGACATTTTAATTGTCACAACTAGGGAAGGGGGAGCACACTACCAGCATCCCGTGGGTAGAAGCCAGGGGGCTGCTAAGAGTCCTGTCATGTACAGGACAACCCCTACACCACAAAGAACGGTCCGGCCCCAAGTGGCAAGGGTGCGGCACTTTGAGAACCCTGGGGTAGATGGCAGCTCCGGTCGGGTTGGAGTTGGCTCCACAGCCTGACACGGGCATTCGCTGGGTGATTTAGTCAGGGGCCCAGCTTCTGCCAGGCTCTGTGCTTCCCCCGTAGAGTGGGACAACACCGCACCGACCTTGCGGACTGTGCTCAGGACACTGCAGAGGAGCTCACTGTTGAGATGATTCTGCTCTCAGTGCCCTCTTGAATTCCCAACAGGCCTGGACTTCCCAGGGTTCTGGCAAAGGCGGAGTGAAGAAAATCTGTCTAGGAAAGTGTTTCCAAATGGAGTGAAACAGGCACATCTGGAAGGGATCCATTCATGAGGCCTTGACAACGTGAATTAAACTCTTGGCAATGAGGACTTTGTGGTTTTCTTTTTATTGCTCAAAGCCAATAATACCAAGTTTTTTTCAGGATCTCCCACATTTTCCCAGGCCCTGAAAAATCCTCTAGAGCAGGAGTTTTTGTTAGCTACTGCTGCGTAACAAATTGCCCCAAACGCGGTGGCTTCATAACTGTCACCAGAAAGGGGCCAGGCCTGAGGAGGGCCTGCCCTGGGGCAGTCGGGAATATGTGGGTTCTTGACTTTGCGCAGGCTTTTACGATTTGAATTCAGGTGATTTTGAGAGTACATTTACGAAAGCCGGGGACGGTGAAACAAGGAAGGACTTATG